CCTTCTAAAAGAATTTAAAAAGAAAATAGTTATTATATATTTGCATTTTTGGAATGATAAGATGCTGCAAATATTTGCAGGAAATTAGTAAATGCCTATGGTAAGGCTACACTTGATTTAAGCACAATAATAAGAGGAGTCAATAATGGCAATCTAAAGTAAAAGATACTGTTACATGATATTTGCCCTTCTATATGGCAATAAACGCTTAAAGATGAGGAAGAGACTTGAGGCAACAGACAATGTAGTATTTCAGAAGGATTCTGAGGATATCATGGATTGAACATGTGAGCAACAACAAGGTTTTAGAGAATATGGAAACAAAAGGAGACATATATTAAACCTCAGGAAGAGGCAGTTGGAATTTCTGTGGCACATAATAAGGTAGGATGGCTTGGAAAATCTGATACTCACAGGACAGTTTGAGGGCAAGAAGAACAGTTTTCCTTGTCAAATATATTGGCATAATTCTGGCATGCCACTTGTTGTATATATTTGCATTCTCCTTCTCTGATCACAAAATAGCATAATGGGTACTTGCACTAGAGTTCACTATGTGTTGCACATGAACAACTTGTGTCCTAAACTCCTGTTAATGACTGTTGACCTCAGCTTCCAGAACTAGGTTTTTCTCAAATGAGAAGTGGTACATGACATCACCATAGCAGTGAAAGTAACCAGCAGACATACTTTCCTAATGATATTTGACTCGGTAGCGCTATATTATTTTACTTGATTTTCGGTTGGGTTTTCTGTGCCTCCCATTCATTTACTACTAAATTACGAAAAGTAAAAATGAAATACCAGGAAGAATGTTAATGTAATTTTCAACCTGACAAAATCAAAGCAAAAAGGAAGCAAAATATCTGTCAAACATACCAGATAAGAAGCCATTAGTAAAAGTGCTTGCTTGCTTTGTGTTCAGTGGCATTAATTGACAGAAAGAGTCAAGCACAAAAGAAAAATTACTTCAAGACTGGCCTGCATTTTAACCGTTTGCTTGGCTCATGCTTAAATGACTCAGTAGTAGACGAGCCAGAAAAAGACAATTTAGGCACAAGGCCATATATATGCGTGTGCATGTAAAAATTCAGATATAAATAAAAAATATATCTGTGTATAGACAATATGAATAAAGACAAAAGAAAAAAAATCTTCATCAACATGTTTCATCATCTGATGGAACTTATCAAGACAAATGTAAGGATTTTATTTTGCAACATGTATTTATAAACAGAAGTCAAAAAAAATAACATTAGGCTTTCAAGTTTTTTTAAATTTAAGAACATTATACATATAATAGCATTATTGTATTGATAATTTTTACATGCCATGAAAATCCTATCAGCAACAACAACCCTTTTTCAGCTTTTGGGCATGTGTAATAAACAAAAAAACAAAACTGGAAGCATGCATAGCAGGAATCCTAAAAGTCTATTGCTCCTTCACAACATGCCAGGTTTTAGGTAGGATGCTAATCTTAGTGTTTCGAGAAGACATGCACATAGCTAAGATAAAACACTCCTTCAGTCTTTAACTCACCAATTTCTTCATTTTTATTACAGAGATTATTGTATTCAATGAATTTATTTGTATTACAGAGACTATCCTATTTCATGAATTTACACTATCTTTTGGAAACTGTGCCCAAACAATCTTCATACTAGAAAGCTATTCCTCTTTTACACTGTGCCGAAGATTTAGTTTAGATGCTAATATTAGTGTTCTGAGAAGAGATGTACATGGCTTACATAAGACATTCACTCACTCTTTAACTCACCAATTTCTTCATTTTTTATTACAGAGACTATCATATTCCATGAATTTACATTTTCTTTCAATAACTGTCCCTGAACATTCTTCATACTAGAAGTTCCCAATAGAATAAAATTTCTGTATCATTTTATTTCATTCCCTCATTTTTTATAATTTTGCAATCAATTCAACACTTACATTTTTGTCCAACTTCAAATGATGACCCCCAAACCTAACGTTACACATCCTTCTGTAGAACCACATTTCTGTTGCCTAAAATCTCCTCTTCTTCTGTGAAGAAAAAGTCCTATATTCAATGCCATACAGGAGATTAGATTCTAAACTGCACTCTTTTTTTTGTTTCTAATGAAATTTTAATTTTTACTTTGGCAAAAACATTCTTTTTTTCTCATACTGAATTTCTTTTTACTAAAAGGATTTACATACAAAGAATAATAATTCTATTTGTCCACTGCAGACAAAATTTATAGTATTTCTTTATATGTTGGATGTAAATATATACAATGTCAACTACAAATAATAATAGTTAAAAAAATAAAATGACGACTATTAATTCAGGTAATATGCAGTGAAAGTTTGCTTCAGTGAATTTGAAAGACAAAAGCTTTATTGATTTCATATTTATTCTTGAAGTATTGAACAAAAAGTAAATAGACGAATAAAAATAACTTAAACTTTGCAATCATTCTGCCCTTTTGCATTTGAAGGTGCCAGGCAAACAGCCAAGTGTATCATTGAAACATAAATCACTGAATATATCCAGGTGCTGCTGAAAAATTCTGAGCTCAACCAACTTCCTAAAATCTGACCAAATGATTGCACATCAATTTTTTTAAGGTAGTTCTCAGTTAGGCTGAGAACTTTTCAGCACATTTACATAATAGTTGCTCCAAAAGTAATGCCTTCTATTTTATTACTTTTGACCCTGCTATAAGTACCGCCACTGTAGCCCATAAATTATTTCTACTTTGTTACGGATTGTAGTTAAGCAGGAATCTAGCAAAATGATAATGGTGAGAATAGCATTGCAGTATTAAAATACTGTCTGACATGAAAGTGCATATGGAATAGAGGTGTAATTGAATATCTATGGAAACCAAACACTAAATGTGAGCATAGTTTTGAATTGAAAAAGTAGGTTTATTTTTTTATCAGTGTGGCACACAGGTTCTTGTTCCCTGCTGGAAAAGAAAAATAAGTCAATGGAGGTGACTATGTTGAAAAAAGCATTTCATAGCCAACAACCTGCATTATCCAACCATGTTATAAATGATCTCTGTATCTGTTACATTTTCCATGGGAATAAAAAGAAAGTATTGCTTTCAAGGCACAACATTATTTGTACATATTACTTCCAATTTTTGCTCAAATTAGGCAAACTACAAATAGTTACAGGTAGTTGATGTTGAAGTATATGTGTAGGCAGCAATTTGATTCAAAAGCCAGAAGGGTAAAAGGAAAAAAAATGAGAAAAAAAAAATAACAAGCACTTGAGTAACATCTCAACTTCTGCAGACAATGAGGAGCCCTCGATCGAGTAGCCAGTGGGTCCTCTTCATAATTGCATCAAGGTTTGTTTACTGTTAAACATTAAACCGAGGTCAATAAAACCCTACCCCAACATGACAAACAACTTAATTAGATATTGTGCACAATTGTTTGGCATCACATGTCATTTATTTCATACTGGCAAAAAGGAAGCAGAGTAAGAAACAAAATTCCTTAGCACAAGACAATGTACCAAAGAGATTCATTCACAGAAGTATTGGAAGGCTTCTAACAGAATTTACTCAGTTCATTTATCTTAAATTCACAAAATAGTTTTTTTCTCTTATTTTTTTTCTAAATCAAAATTTGTTAGGTTATTTAATAGCTAAAAAAAAAAAAAAAAAGACATAACCAAATTACTGCTATTTATTTAAAAAAGAAATATTTTACTATATTTTTACCAGAAGTCCTTGAATATTGTTTGAGCAATATTTCCCTGTGATTGATTAACATGTAATATTGATTTTTGGTCATTGTTGGGCAGATCTTTTGTGTAAAGAGAATACAAATTACGTCCAAAGCAAACCAATGTTTTTTTGTTTGTTTTTTTCCAGCCAATTTTTTAATACATTCAAGATCAACAGAATGTTTTACTTTTTCCTAAAAAAACAAAATATGAAATGTACAGGAATCATCTTTTAAAGACTGTAAAGTCAAACTCCCATTCTCCAAAATGGTTCTTTTTCAAAGAGTGTTGCCAGAGGTAAACACTGGGGTCATTGCTCTCTTATTAAAAATATTAAGGCAGCCATTATTTGAGAAGAATATTTTGATAGTTCTGTTCTTTGGCTGAAATTGTTACATATCTCCCCACTAGTGCTAAAAATCTGTGTTCAATCCCACATAAAAGACAAGAGTTTGAATGCTGTTTCTCAAGACAAACATGCCTACCTTACATGTAAGATTGTATAAAATGATCTTTCAACACCACGTTCAGCCCAATATCTGGCTTCAGGCCATACTAAACTTAGCTTAATAAATATTGATAGCAAAGTTTCATTAGTAAAAAAAAATGTTTTCAAAAGCAACTATTTTAGACCCTGAAACGTAAACAAAGTAACAGCCAATAAAAACACAAACAAATTTAAGAACATGCTTCTAACTGAATATCCAGAGAAGGAAAAATTATCCTAAAAATCGAAAAGAAAAAAAAAAGAAGAAAGAATTATGGTCAATTTATTTTGAGCATCAAAAGTACAATATCTTTTCAAGCCTCTTTAAGCTGCAACTCTTTCATTATCTCCCCTTATTTTATTTGCTCAGAACACATTTTTTTCTTTTCTTTTTCCAGCTCTTTGGTAAGTAAACTTTAAATGGTTGTCTTCATTCCTGCCAAAACCTACACTTGATCTGTCTACAAGTTAGCATTAATCACTAAAAGAGTGAAAATAACCTCCTTTTAAATTTATTGATAAACTAGACATACAATACAAATGTTTGAGGCCTAAGTATATTCAAGAGAGTTTCACAAGGAACTTAATTTCCCCAGATATACATTAAAGGGTAAAAGGCCACCATACTAAAATTAACCAAAAAGTAACACAATATCTACATGCCCAGAAAACAATATAAACTATTCATAGAAAAGTTTTTTCTCTTTTCTTTTTGCCTTCTGTCATCCTGATGACTGATTGAATAAAAATCTATGGCAAGATGCTCTCCTCTTAGAAGGATACTTAAGCCTGCCAACATTTGCCAAGGGAGGTAAGCCAAAAGTTTGCAAAAGACAAAAAAATATTAAAGGAAAGTAAAAAGTGCAAAGAGAGAAAAGTTCTCAAAATGGTGAAAAGAAAAAAAAATGATACACTGGAAAGAAATAATAAAATCTTGAAGGAAAAGAGTGACAAAGAAATAAGGAGGGTGGAAAAAAAATTTATGAAAAAGAAAGGGAGAAAAAAATAAGATGACTAAAGAGAAGGATGGAAAATGAGGACAGAAAGAAGGAACTAAATAGGGATTATTGAAAGGGAGACAGAAGTGGATAAAGAAAGTATAACAGAGAGACACCTCAAGGGGAGAAATAAGGATATGCAGAAAAGAAGGAGAGAGTGAGGGGAAAGGATGGAGAAAGAAGAAAAGGGAAGTAGAAAAGGATGAAGAGGAAAAAGAAGGATGGACAGAAAGTCAAACCAACAGAAGACAAATGTGAGAACAGCAAGAAGCAAAATGATATAAATGCAAGAATTTATAAAGGAAATGAAAACAAATGAGTTAATGAATGAAAGAAAAAAAACTAAAAGTAAGATGGAATATGAAAATATGACATTGAAAAAATAGGGAAGATAAATGAAGAATGGTAATTGAAAAAGAAGAACAGGCAAAAAAGAAATGTGGTAAGAGAAGAAAGAAAGACAAAACATGCTAAGACGAGAAAGAAGACAAAGTGAAGTAAGAGGAGAAAGAAAGAAAAGGCGAAGTAAGAGGAGAAAGAAAGAAAAGGCGAAGTAAGAGGAGAAAGAAAGAAAAGGCGAAGTAAGAGGAGAAAGAAAGAAAAGGCGAAGTAAGAGGAGAAAGAAAGAAAAGGCGAAGTAAGAGGAGAAAGAAAGAAAAGGCGAAGTAAGAGGAGAAAGAAAGAAAAGGCGAGGTAAGAGGAGAAAGAAAGAAAAGGCGAGGTAATAGGAGAAAGAAAGAAAAGGCGAGGTAATAGGAGAAAGAAAGAAAAGGCGAGGTAATAGGAGAAAGAAAAAAAAAAGCAAGGTAAGAGGAGAAAGACCAAGCAAGTTAAGAGGAGAAGAAAGACAAGGCGAGGTAAGAGGAGAAGAAAGACAAGGCGAGGTAAGAGGAGAAGAAAGACAAGGCGAGGTAAGAGGAAAAGAAAGACAATGCGAGTTATGAGGAGAAAAAAAGAAAAAGTGAGATAAGAAGAGAAAGAAAGACAATGCGAGTTAAGAGAAGAAAAAAAGAAAAAGTGAGGTAAGAAGAGAAAGAAAGACAAAGCTAGTTAAGAGGAAAAAGGAAAGACAAAACCAGTTAAGAGAAAAAAGGCAGACAGAATGAGGTAAGAGAAGACAGACAGACAAAACAGGGTAAAAGAAGAAAGAAAGACAAAATGAAGTTAGAGAAGGAAAAACAAAATCAGGTGACAGAAGAAAGAAAGTAAATTTTTCAACTCAAATACAGTTTTGGCTACAATTAACACAAGACACTGAGTTTCAATGGCAGCCAACATCAAGTAGCCTTACTCAAATGCCAGGAAATTTTCAAAATGGTTAAGAACGAATGATCTCTAGGACGCACCAATACAATTCACAGAATTTCCCTACAGGGAAGGTCAGATGAAGTAGGCATAGAACCACAGAACAATTTTCACTAACAGCTGTCTTACAATTACAAGGACAGTGCCTAGTTACCAGAAATATTGAATTAGAGACACCTTGTCAAGGGAAAAACAGGAGCAGAACAATTCTCCTGATGGTTTCTGGTGGTATTTATCTTCATATTACTCTCAGTAGTTGGGAGCCAGGAAAATATCAGAAATGACAATGTTAAATGTAGAAAAAACTTTGGGTTTAAAAAGCAAAAGAAAAAGAAGTGTCCCTTTCTAGAAACTGGACAAGCATTTGAATTAAGTACTGTATATACTTTTAGGATATGTATGATCATGGTTCTTCACAACTTCCTGTCTCCTGTTGCTCTAAGTAAATTTTGATTCCATACCATTCTTCTTTGACCTTGTTCTGCCATCTGTTCACTCAAAATTGTTAAGTAGTGTCCCCTTACTTTCTTATAATTATCTCCCTTACTTCTTTTGATTTTAGTATGTCCTGTGACTATCAGATTCTTCAGGCCTTCTTTCATAACAAGCTCCAGAAATTTCAACTTTCTCTTTCTAATTATAAGTACAAAAGTCCTTTTGCACATAGAATACTGTGATAAGACATTACATACATTATGGTGTTATTTTAGTATCACTTAACAATATGTGAAAATGTATTACATAATATGATACTACATGTTACATAACAAAATAATTCATGTTTCATTGGAGTTTGCTTTCCTTAATCATTTCTCATTTGTTCTGTCCATGGTATTGTTAGCAATTCAACAGTTGAACCACATCTCTGTCATTTCATGTTCCTTCTTCATTTGTGAGGAGAGTGTATAGTATTAATAACCTCAGACCAGATATGTAGCAGTTCAGCACTTGTCTTTGTTTCTATTCACGTAATGAAGTTTTAAGAAAAGTAAAAACAAGAGAGATGCTTATACTTAAGGTCAGAATGAGACTGTTGAAATTTCTAGAGAGACAATGAGAAAAGGTCTTGAAGAATTTGCCACTCACCAGACATACTGAAGGCAAAATGTACAGGGAGAAACAGTGAGTAAATAAATAAGCTTCTGTAAATGGATGACAGAACAGAAAGTTGGAGGAATGGTGAAAAGACAAACCTTACTAAAGATGGTAATGGTAATATTAACCATTTCCTTCTAAAGAAACATTTGGCATTGAATGATTGAGCAGCCTGTATTATTTCCAGATGAAATTTATAAAATCTTTCTCTGCAAAAAATATTTCAGAAAATAGGCTTCTCAAGTACCCTAACTGCTATCACATTTTCCAGTATTTCCCTAACCTTTTATTTGAAGTAGTGCGGAATTTCAATATCTTGATTATGTCTTTATTCTTTATTTTCACATTTGAGTTACATATGATATCCCTTTTAGTTGTTGTTGTAAGTCCTCAATCAGAGTAGATAGGTTCACCTATCGTCCAGTTCACACTGCTCCCTGGTCTTATAGTTATCGCTTATTTCCTGTTTAGGATTGGATTTCCAATTCATTCTAAAGTCTTCTCATTCTCTTTTACTTCCAGTTGTCCGTTGCAATCTTAGTGACATTATTGTCTTTCTTGGGGTGAACTGATTAAAAAAAAATAGAATCATTCAATATGTGGCAGTGCTTCTGGATTGACTGGTTGTAAGTCCTACCTGGAGTTAAATGAGTGGTTTAAGAAAGTTATTTTACTGAAAAACTGTTTTAAGACAAATATTTTAAGAATTTTTAACTCATACTAATGGTACCTGTTTGAACAACCAATGCCAGATATTTCCAGTATGAAAGTAGCAATTCTCACTATTACTGTTTTAATAGATTACTGCTCAATTACTATCTGTAACCAGGTAGAAATAAATTGTAGGTTATTGACAGAAAAGTTCAAACTCTACTTCAGTACTGCTAGAATTTACCTCTGATGTCAGGAGTAAAAATAATAAAATAGAAGGCAAGTTATGTGGTTTCTGTTCACAAAGTTCAAAGAAGAATAGTCTTCACCAAGACCCACAGGCTTCACTCACTCAAACCATTTTTAACCTGACAATGTGGTTGTGTACAACTGATAGTTTAGATGCATGACATCCATTATGAAAGTCTCAGTATGATGAGGCTAATCAAAAAGATAACTTGAGTTTTCAGGTTAATGTTTCAATTTTGTAACAGTTTGCAGTACTGTGGAAAACTACCTGAAGTGCAGCCTATTCTGTAGAAGGGAAAACAGTTTACCTCCTGGAATAAAACATGCTCATATGCATCTTGTGTGCAAGATATTTATAAGAAAACATGGCCAATCAAAAAGCTACAATTTAAGAATAACCTGATCTCATAGACGAATTTGTGGTTTATGCAAGTTTCTGAGCCTCAGCCACTCGATAAAATGAGCATGAGTGAGAGAACGTCAGTGGAGTAGCAGAGGTCAACAAGGCAAGTAGTTGTGCTTTGTGTATGAAGTTTTGTGGTAGTCTCACTGATTGTGATTGAAAAAAGACAGGGTACAACAGGTATTCCAAACAGCTTTAACTTCTTGCTACAATTTCCTTAAGTTGATCACCACATCATGATGGATAATACAATTTACAGTAATTTCTTTCTCCAAAAAAAAAAAAAAAAAAGGTGTTTTTATTTCTTTCCTTTTAAATGCTGTCATGTAACTCTTAATGAGAGTCACCTGTTATCAAGATTAATGCTTCTGTGTTGTTTTTACATTATCATTTATTATCTTTTCATATATTCTACTTAATTCAAAGTTCTTACACTTCGTAACACTGAAATGAGTTTTTTATGCTCTTCTGGAGAGAAAACAAAGCTTGTCCTTTCTTCTTTCATATGCTATGTACCTTCTGAACATCAGCAATCATTGCTCACCATAATTCTCTGACCTTTGTAGTTCTAAACAACATTTGATTCTTCATCATCCTTATTTGTCCCAATTCTGCCATTCATTACACAGGTTACTCACTGTTTGTACCTGTCTCACTTGTATTCAATAATGTTAGTATATCACATTTTCCGTCATCTGTTAAAACACTTCCCAGTGTTAAATTTCTGTACTTGATTTTGACAGCTTTATTTCATTGCTTGCATCTCTGGCTGTTGACCTTGCATATGACAATACATTCTCTATTATCAACTTACAAGTTGCAATAAAAGATTTTAGAGACAGGGATCTAAATCAATCCTTGAGTCAGACCAACAAATGTTATTAACTTTTTGAAGTGGCATAAAAATGTTAACAATAGATTTGTGCCTTTGGGGTGTGAAATTTAATATTTCTGTGATCAGTCTATTTTCTGTTTCAATCAAAACATGAAACCATAACTCAGTCTAATAATAATGTTGTAAGAAGATGACAGAAATGGAGAAAAAAAAAACCAAAAAAAACAAAGAAAACTTTTGTTAATAAGGAAAATGTAATCATTACTCTTTTTTGGTAACAAATTACTGTACATACTCGAGGATAGGTCGTACTTTTCTTTTTTACCAAAATTTTAATAAAAATCATTGATGAGACCTATCTACTCAATATAATAGAGAACCTGAACTGCAGCATATCAATAATCCAGGTGAGTACACTGGGGTTGAGCATAAGCCAGAGCAAGGCAGAAAATTAATTTTACCCAACATTTCAATTTTATGCAATTGTCTCTTCTAACAGTACTGTGTCATACAACAAATAAAAGTGCTTGATCTCATATTTACCATTTATTATCAATGAAAGTCTATCATTTTCAATTGATTTTATGACTGAAGCAATTACAAGTATCCTAATTTTAAACAGAGCAGCCCTGAGCTCAACAACAAATACTATGCAATTACAACAAATCTTTTTTCTTATATTTTAATATATATAAGCAAAGTTTTGAAATAAAGGTGAATATTTGAAAATATTTAACAATTATTAGTTATATTTACATTAAAAAGGGTCATGTAACTCCCCAGATTATATCCAGGAGTCAACTGCTAATACCCACTTTGACAACTCAAAACTATAGGTGTGACCTATCTACTGATGCAAACTATACATGAGTATATATAGTATGTCAAAAACGAAAGAACAAACTTTCATCAACTGAAATTTCAAACTATTTTTGCTTTAGTGGTTAGGTTTGTAAGTTTTGTGTTTATGAAATTTCTTCTTTCTTAATACTTTTGGAAGGCACTTTTCTTTATTCCAATCTGCCTTTGGGCTTAGAGCCATATCATAGTAAAACATCACCAAAATTAAGCAATGTTGAACCTGTTCAGTACCAAGACAGGTGACCGCTTGGAAATATTAAGTGCTGTAAGTTTAGATGTGCAAATATGGAAATGGATAATGGCTCAGAATTGGAAATTGGAAAACCAAATACCAATTCCAGTCAGGTTTGCTATATTCACTGATGTGCTAATAACCTTAGGAATGGTATAACTCCACCTCTTCCCCACAAGCTATGGTGCAATTGGTAGGACTTGTATTAGTAAATCATTATTATCTCAAAAAATTCTTAGGAACTAAAAATAATTCTGACTTTAAATAACTCGCAAAGATTGATAAACCATAAAAAACAAACCAATCAACCAATATGCCTTTGGAATCTTGTGTCACATTTTCCATGATCTGTTAAAACATTTCTCAAATAGTTAAATTTCTGTACTTGCTTGATTTTGATGAATCCATTTTCATAGCTCACACCTTGGAATCACCCTCATGTTAACAACTCTGTATTCAGTTTTCTTACAAATGATAGTTTTTTTCTTCTTTCACAAAGATGCCTTGGATCAACATGGTATCATCTGCATATTTCATGTTGCTAAGAGAACTGTGCTCACCAATAATAAATCCTGGTAGAACTTCTAGTTCTCTTAGGATCACATTACAGTAAAGGTTAAATAAATCTGTTGAGAATTCTTGTCTTT